GCAGCTCCAGAAGCAAGCGCAGACGTCCCCGATGCCGCAACCGCAACACCAGCACCAGCAGAGCGCGCCGCAGCTGCAGAGCCCCGGCAACCAAGCCGCCGGCGTGAACCCCAACGCCGCGCCCGGGCCCATCCCCGCCACGACACCGCTCGTGGTGAGGCAGGACGGAAACGGCGTGCAGTGGATCGCGTTCGAGTACTCGCGCGACCGCGTCAAGATGGAGTACACGATTCGGTGCGACGTGGAGTCAGTCAACACGGACGAGCTGTCTCCCGAGTTCAAGCAGGAGAACTGCGTCTACCCCCGCGCGTGCTGCCCCAAGGACCAGTACCGCGGCAATCGCCTGATGTACGAGACGGACTGCAACCGCGTGGGCTGGGCGCTGGCACAGCTCAACGCCCCGCTGCGCGGCAAGCGAGGCCTGATCCAGAGGGCGGTGGACAGCTGGCGGAACAGCAACCAGGACCCGAGGCTTCGGAGCCGACGCGTTCGTCGCATGGCCAAGATGAACACGCGCAAGCAGGTCCAGGGAACCCCCACGCCGCACCCCGGCGCCGCGCACATGCCGGGTCCGGGCGGCCCGCCAGGGATGTCGGCCGCTCCGCCCATGGGACCAGGAGGCGGCCCCACGATGGGCAAGCCCGGGCTGAGCAGCATGGGACAGCCAATGCACCACCATGCCGGGGCCCATCCCGACGGAAGCGCCCCCGGCGGAGGAGACGAAGTCGGTATGTTCCACCAGATGTGATTTGAGAGCCTCGCATCTGCCGCGTTTGCACTGCTTTGATTTGCTCCCTGCAAGCACCTCGATGCATCGCATTGCACTGCACTGCACAGGGGCCCGACGTCACGAGAGACGTTGTGTTGCTTTGATGATACCAGACTTTCTTCCCCCCCTGTTCCCGTCTTTTTATTTCCCCACTGTCATTGCAAAAAGAAAAAGGGTTCGCACTTTGGTTCTTCGCGCGTTTCGTCTCCTATGTCCTCTCGACTCCCTCTTTCTGTCGGGGGGGACGAGCATTTCCTCTCTTGTCGCGACGTCTTGGGAAAGGGCTTGTATCAAATCTTCTTGCTTCACACATTTTCCTGTTATATATAGGCAAGGGGGGGCTCGCGTGCTGCCGCACCAAGGGGGCCCCCCTCCGCGCCACCCCCGTCACCGCGACACAGCAGCCTGCTGCAGAGACGGCGAGTTTCAGAACGAATCTCGGATTGTCACAATCTTCTGTACATTATCATAAAGTCGCACACAGCCATCGCCGCTGTCAAGTCCTCTTTATCCCTCTGCATTAGCATCGCTGCTGGTTTTCGTGCGACTCTTAGACGAGCTCAATCAGCCTCTTGGCTATATTAAGTTGCAACCATGTTGGCAGAATCAATTTGTTTTTCTTCTTGCTTGTCTCAGGCAGGAACAGAGGACGGGGAGAGCGAGAGACAGAGAGAGAGAGAGAGAGCGAGAAAAAAAAAAGAAAGGAGACAATGAGACAAAACAGCCCCGTCCCGGGGCCCCCGACACATCCCTCCACCACACGACACGGCCGCATCGAGACATCATGTCACTAAAGATCTTGGGCTAACAGTTCTATTTTGTTGAGGCAACGGCAACTCGTACGAGGACCACCACCACCACCACCAGGGCCCGGCACATCCAGGACATGCGGGTGGCGGCGACGACGTGAGACAGTCGCATGTCTTCACCGGGTACGGGGCCCACGGCTACCCTGGCGCCGCTCAGGGCGGGCCGATGTCTCACATGGCGCCCCGGGCCGGCGGCGCCATACCAGCCCGGGTTCACAGCAGGACCACGGCTGACGAGCCCGAGGGGCTGTTCCCGGACATCCCAGAAGCCAAGAAGCGCAAGTTCATCCTCGTCGAGGACAACGTGCGCGGATCGCGGCTCCGCGTGCGGGTGACGCTGGACGGCGTCGACACGAATGAGATCCCCGACAGCTTCCGCAAAGGCGCCAGCCTGTACCCTCGCAGTTACTTCCCCCGTGAGATGCAGAGCCCGCCGCCGAGCGCCACTGGGTCGCGGTTCTTCGTGGACGACATGGACGACGATGGAACGCAGGAGACAGAGGGCCGGGAGGCCAGCCGCGGCCGCGGCGCCAAGTCGATGAGCGAGGCCGTGCGGGTCACCATGGGCGAGGGAGAGGGCGGCGAGGCGACGGTCCCGAGGATGAAGAAGTCGATCCGCGGCAGGGAAGTCAGGCTCAACGACCTGGCATACCGCATGGCGTGGCTGCAAAGCCGGGTGTTTGCGGGGAGGACCGTCTTTCTCCAACGAGCGAGTAAGTCTACGTTGCACGGCGACGACGCCGGGGGGCGGGAGAACGCTGACATGGTTGGCGACAGTGGACTGCTATCGCAACAAGACGCGGGCTGCCATTGAGGCGACGATGCAGGACGTCGCGGCCATCGCCCCGCACTACGAGACTCGGACGGGCAAGAGACGATGGGCTGACCGAAGGAAGCGAGGCGAGCAAGACGACGCTGACGATTAGAAGGGGAGAGTCGGGTTGGAAGGGCGGTTGGGGTTCGGGCGGATCTGTTGCCATTCTTGTCACTCCTTGTCCGTCTTTGGTGCTCTTTACAGATTCCCCGAGCGTTAGCGACATCTGTTGCAAGCTCTGTCATGGCGGGTCATGACCTCAGTAAAGGTCGATTTTTTTGTTGCTTCTGGACGTCGAGGCGGCGGCCGAGGATGCGCGGCGGACGGGTTCATTTCTCCAGCGCTCACGGCCCGATGCGGTTTTGAGCTGCGTCGACATTTTGTGTGCGGAATATTTTGTATAGCCGATAAAAACCGTGAATAGACTTGACATTGAGCGCATACCTACCTGCACGAAGAGTGAAGACTGTAGGCTCCGGTGGCGGGTAAATGCTGTTGACGGAGGGCAGCGCAAGAGGTGGGCGACGTCGATGGTGATGAGGCGTGCGGGAACAAGGGGTGTGCGTGTGTGCGCGCCCAAGCCAGCCGTTCGTCCCCCTGTTGGCCCTCCTGCAAGGCCGCGGGTAGACGTGCATGCTTGCTGCAGGTCACGATGGAGGAACTGGGGGAGGGGGGAGGGAGCGGATTTGCCTCGAACTGGGGGTGGTTGACGAGGCGGCCTCTTATACACATCTAGATGTGTATAAGAGACAGAGCCAGGCGAGGGCAGGAGCCCGGGGGCCCTGGATGCATCCACCGGCGTCGTCGACGTGGATGTGGATGTGCACGGCGCTGAAGAGATCTGATCGTGGGGGGGCGGGGATGGAGGGATGGGTGGATGGGAGGCGGAGAGACGGGGCCAACCTGGGATCGCTGGGCAGGGCGGTCGGGCAGGGCAGGGCATGGCATCGGCGTGGGGAGCGGGGGGCGGCGACAGGGCAAGGCGAGGCAGAGAGACCATGGGAGGGAGGGGACATGGGATGGGCGTGGATGGGAGGAACGGGATGGGATGGCCTGCGCAGGACAGGGCATCTGGGGCGCCGCATGGGCAGCCCGGGCGGGTAGCCAGCCGAACGGGGACGGCATGGCAGCACGGCATGCGTGGCCGCAGGGTTTCGTTTGCGCGGGGATGGCATGGGCATGGGCACTGACCGGCGGCGACTGCAAGCACAGGGCAGCTTGGCATCCATCCCCATGCCGTCCATGGATGCTGGATGGGTTGGGGGCGGCCTCGTGACGGACGACGGCGGCGGACTGGGGGTGGGGAGGGTTACCGGTGGGTGGGTAGGGGTTCTCTCTTTTTTTTTTCTTTGGCTTGGCCCTGGGGGACTGTCGCCGGGGGACCTACCTAGTATAGGTACTGGGGACTCGGGGACTGGGGGGCGGGCAGGCAGGCCTTGCGCATCCCCTTTTGCCAGGAATAGAAGGGAAGGAAAGTTGATGGGTGGACGGGCGATAATGGATCCATGGATCTTGCCGTTTAGGGGGGAAGGGAGGGCGAGGGGCGTGCTGCATGGAGGATGGGCTGTCCATGAGCTGAGCCTGCCCGCCTACTGGGTGGGAACATACACGCAAGCACCGGCACTGGACTCACGCTGGGCCACCTGGACTGAGTTCCGGGCCGTCTACCGTGTACGGCACACGAGGGCTCAGGCACTTACCCTTCAACGGGGCAGCACAGCCGGCAGGTAAGCTTAAAGTTTGCGGGCGTCGCCGCCATGCAGTGGCTGCCCAAGGCGTTGGGCGTGAAGGCGCCATTGGCTCTGTGCAAGTCAACTGGAACTCAGCCTGGGCCCAGCTAATCGGTGCGTCCCCCAGGATGGGGGCCCTAAGTACCAAACAGCGCGGAGCCCAAGTCCCGCACGGGCAATTGGAACTCTCAAAGCAGCTCCACCAGACCACCGCCTGCAGGCAACCATGGCGCCGCCGCCGCCTCGTCGTTGCAGCAGCACCAGCACCAGCACCAGCAGCAAGCGACCCCATGGCCCATATCCCATGCACCATGGGAGCCAAGGCCCGGGGGGCTGCAAGGCTAGAGCGTCAGCCCAGCCAGCTGGAAGCGCTCCCCCAACTCACTAACTACTAGGTACTGGCACTGGCGCTGGCACTGGACCGGACTGGGCCCTAAAAGGGTTGGCATCGTTTTCGCCCGTCACCCCTTTTGACGTCCGTCCGTCGTCCGGCCCATACAAACCTCGCCAACGACGTCGCTCAGCCCTGCGCGAAGCAAACCACTCCCCCGAGCGAGCGACAGGCAAACCCTTCTGGCTCTTGACGACGGCGAGCGACCGCTCGGGCGATGCCACTCGTCGGGTGACTTCCCCAGGTTGGCTACGGCGGCGTTGTCCCGGGGAGGCCAAGGCGGCACTTGAGACGGTCGGGCTTGGCTTTGTCTTGCCTTGCATCACTGGCTGCCCCTCAGTAGTAGCCCAGCCGGCCTGACCACCACCGACGACGACGACGACTACCACGACTGCGACTCCCACGACGACGGACGACCGGCCAGGGCCCTTAGCGCGCATACGCGCAGCCAGCTCCGTGAGCCTGCCGAGCTGACGGCGGCGGGACCATGACACGCCACGAGCAGCAGCAGCATCAGCAACATCAGCAGCACCTCGCCGGTGCCGCTGCCGGCAGCAGCCGTCCCAACCGCGCGAGCTACCCTCCGCCGCTCTTCGTCGCCGAGCTCGACGCCGCGCCGATGCACGGCACCGTCCCGACGCCCGACGGCGGCCTCGCCTTCGAGATGTGCGGCGACTCGGCGGCCCCGCGGAAAGAGGGCGCTGGTCCCGAGACGACGAAGAGGCCGCCGCCGCCGCCGCCGCAGCAGCAGTCACAGGGTGACGTCGACTCGGCTTCGGTGCAGGCGAATCCGTGGCCGTTTTACCTCGAGGAAAGCACCACGGCGGCGACGCAGAAGGCGGAACAAAAGGACGGAAAGACGCCGGACGAGGCGGCCGAAGGGGCTGCGAAGAGGGAGCCGGCGAATCCGTGGCCGTATCATGGCCCGTCGGGGGAGGGCGATGATGGGCCCCGGGCGACCGTGTATCCGCAGCTGGTGACGCCCGGTCCGCCTGAGGCGGGCGACGGAGACGGCGCGGTCAGGAACGAGGCGCATCATGCTGCCGGCGAGGACAATGATGGCGCGGCATATCCGGCCCCGCTGAGGATATCACGCTCCCAGGCGGCGTCGCCCAAGTCCCCCGCGTATCAGCCCTACTCGCCGCCCCCTGAGCGCGAGGGCGACGAGAAGGATGCCGGTGTGCGCCCGCCCGCGCCGTCCAAGGATGGGACGACGACGACGCTCGCGTATCGGCCATATCAGCCGCCGGAATCTCCGCCGCCACCGCAGGACGAACCGGGAACACGGCCCTCGGCAGGCATGGGCGCGGCTCCGCATCACTTCTACAGTCCCCCGGAGGCGAAGCCCGAGTCGACGCCGACGAGTCCCCCGCTTGACTCCAAGACTCCTGTCGCGGAACCGACTGTGGCCGCCGTTGCCGCTGCTGCTGTTGGTGGTGCCGCAGCGACGACAGCGGCCTCGGTCGCGCAGAGTCAGGGAGCGGGAGATGGATCGGCTGTCCAATCGCCTCAGGCGCAGACGTCGAGTCCGCCTGCGCCGCCCAAGGTGTCCCTGGCTGCTGTGCCGTCGGCGACATCTGCATCGCCACCGCCGGGTGCAGCCCAGAACCAGCAGGGAGCAGTGATGGGATCAGCTCAGCGACCGACCTCTACCTCGCCTGGTCCGCCGAGCGCCGGGGCTGCAACGACTTGGACCTCTCCGCTTCAGTCTCCTCCCCATCCTTCCTGGCCGGCGGCCGGCCCAGTGCAGCAACCCATCTACGCCCCCCAGCCATTTCCCCACGACGCCCACTCGGCTCTCGCGTCTCCCGTGCCGGGCATGACGCCCATCTCTCCTCTGCAACAAGGCTATCCCCCGCCGTCGCTGCACTCGCCGTCTCCCGTCAACTCGACGTACAGCATCCCGCAGCCGACGTACACTCCCTCCCCGATGCCCTCGCCGCATCCGACTCATGTCCCCTCAACCGGCGCGCCTCAGCCGCAGAGACCGCCCGTCCACCAGGCCATGTCCGACCCAAACATGCCGCCCCAGCAGACACCACAGTCCCCTCCTCCGCCGTACCCGTATGGCTCGCCCGGTCCTGGGCCGCCCCCTCAGCCGACGTATGCCCCCCAGCAGCAGCCTTACTCGCCGCCGCCACCCGGGGCGCCTCCCGCGAACGGTGCCGGCCCCGGCTACTCTTCTCAGTACGCGTACGGACCGCTCCCGCCGTATAACCCCGCCGACCCCAAGCACCCTCCCCCGCTGCCGCCACGGCCCATGCCCGGACCATACGCCCCCATGGCACCCATGCCCACGGGCTTCGGATCCGGCCCCGCCGGCGGGGCCGCCTACCCCCCGCCCCCGAAGACCATGTACGCGCCCAGGCCGCACCCGCCGCCGCCGCTGCCCCCGCGCGTTGGATCCGCCGGCGGCAGCGGCAGCCTGTTCAGCAGCGCGTCGGCCAAGAAGTGGCTCGACAAGACGAGCCAGGTGCTGGAGAGCAAGCTCGAGGCCGTGCTGCAGGGGCCGCAGGGCCCGCCGCATCGGCCCGCGTATACGGGAGCGCCGCCGCCGCAGCAGTACCAGCAGTATCACCAGCAGCAGCAACAGCAGCATCAGCAGGGCGCGAGGGGCCCGCCGGGACCGCAGTACGGGTATGGACCTGGACCTGGGGGACCGCCCGGCCCGAACGGGTACGCTGCCGGACCGTGGGGGCCGCCGCCGCCGGGGCAAGGGGGGCCGACACGGTACGCGTGAGGGCTTTGAATCCGTTATGATGCAGAGCACACGGGACTGTTATGTGCTTGTTGTTTGGGCATGCGTAATGTCCCACGTTGGCTATGCGGGCCAAGCTCCCTACTGGCGTTATACGTAAGGATAGTATCATATGATGGGCGAGCTCGAGTCGGCTGGTTCAAGCGGCGCACAGGTACAGCTATGGGAGGCGTGCATCTTTCCGCGATGGTCATTACATATTCTGGGGCGTCGGGCTGGCGGATCAACTACTTGCATGCCATGCTATATACCAACTGCATTGATACATCTTCAATTACCTTTAGCAATCACAAGCTTGTCTCTAGAGTGATTGCTAGGGTTGACCGTCCTTGACTTCAAAGGTCCTTCTTTTGCGCAGCTATCACACGGGGTTGTTGAATATTCTCAGGCTTGTCACGGAGATTGGGAAGATGTAGCGAGATTGTGTCAGGGTAAGGCTGGAGATGAGGATTGATAACGATGCTTCTCTATTGTTGCTCCTTTTTGTAACTCCGCACTGATCGCCAACGCCCGCTTCTGTCAACGCCAGGTCTAGAGTTCCCATGCAACCATATTCCTGTCACTCCTCCACAACCTCCACAACCTCGCCCGAGCTCACACCGCCATGTATTTGGTGTAAACAGCAACCTCCGACGCCCTTATCCCGACCGACCGACCGGTACCCGACCATCGCCTCGTGCTTACCGGCAAACGGCGCTGTTGGTGCCCGCGTTGATGTCGCAGTGGTTCCCGTCCCGCGTGCACTGCAGGCCGATGAACAGAGACAATAGGTTAGCCCAGGGCCGCGCGAAAGAAAAGAAGGGGGAAGGACAAGTAGAAAGAAGTGGGGAGGGGTTTGTATGTGTTTCTGAGCTGCTGTATATCCCGGCAAAAGGCGGTTTGGCGGGGAGGGGGAGTGTGGACGGGGGAAAGGAGAGAAGACTGGGTATTATTATGGTAATGGTTTGGGAGTGCATCGTGTGGGATAGTATATACGGTACGCACCCTCGCGCTGGAGCTGCAGCTGTAGTACTTGGGCACGACGGCGTACTGGGTCCTGCCGGTCCTGTCCCGGCCGACGGGCTCGGTGACGTACGCGGTGCACTTTTGGGTGTAGACGTCGCAGGTCTGGATTGACAAAAGCCCATATTCAATTAGCATGCGTATCGTCTACTACTAGACGAGCGGGCGATCCTCGGACGTTGCTTGCTCTGCTCTTCAAGGCAGACATCTGCCCCGGCTGGCGGGGGGAAGGAGAGGGAGGGTGTGGGATATGCAACTAGGGACTGGAGTAACTCACGCCGCCTTCGATGGCAAAGGCCGTGCCGCAGAGTGCCGCGACGGCGGCGGCGAGGACAAAGGTGTAGCCGGACTTCATTTTCGGTATTTTGGAGACGCGCGTTTTGTTATCTGGGGCAGATATGAGAGATATGGCAGATACGGGCGATGATGTGACGATGATATGTATGATGTTGTGCTATTACAGACTTGGAGGAATGCAAGGCAGATAGGCCGTCCTTTTATATCATCAGTCTTTGGGGGCAGGAGAATGGCAAGCCGTAAGAGAAACTCGCCCTGTGGTGGTGATTCACGCAAACACGGACACAGACACATCTTGCAACGTCTTCCCGTTGCATATAACAGACTGACATTTCGTACAATACGTATAATCGTTACCAATCTACAACGTGATGATGCTGACGCCTGAACGCGCGGACAAAGGGGCCGTGCCGTTGCAGAAAGAACAGAGGCCATCGGCAGACGTTTCACAGGAGTGCAAAGAGAGGGCATCGTCGTCGTCGTCGTCGCCCTCTGCTCGCGGTCTCACGAGAAGGCACCACCGACTCTTTTGAGCATCTGGGGACAATAGCAGGCCGTAATAAATCGCTCGCTCGCTCGCGTTGGGGTCCAAGGGATAGGTTTATAGCTACCCAGACCGGAGGCAACTGCAACAGAGAAGGCCGGGGATAAAACAGGTTTTTGGATTCGGGATCGGAGTCGGGGTCGTGCGGGAGCGAGAGAGAGGGGAAGAGGGCAGCAGGCAAGGCGAAACGAGGCGACGGGGTCAGCTGAGGCGGGCTGTGCTGGAGGAGGGGCACCAGCAGAAGCAGCAGCAGCAGCAGCAGCAGCAGCATTGAAGCGCGAGATATTTATGCCGCGTTCGTGGCCGTGCGTCCGTGCCTGGGCGAGCGAGCGAGCGGTTCATAAGTGGTGGGAACGAGTTGTGCCCATTGTCGCGGAGTGGTGAGTTGCCGAGTGGGAGGCGGGACGGACGGCATTGAGCGATATTTGCACGGCCTCTCGCCTAAATACTGTTACTGTGTGTGTATGTGCGCATCTGCTTGCTTGTATCAAGATGGCACGTATCACAGGGTCGCCGCCGCCGCCGCCGCCTCGGCACGCGTCCGAGACGATCGGCCAGTCTTTAACGTGCGTCGTCTCAGGCGGATGAACGGATTGGTGGACGGATGTGCAGATGGATGAGACGACGGGGATCTTGCTCCGGACCGGAGCCAAGCAGCCCGTGGATCGACGGAAAGCGGCCACCCTTTCGACAAAGCCCTCTTTCCTTGATGGCAGCAGTCATTCGCTCATCATCACACGACACGGCACGGCAGCCGAGGCCGCACCGGTATCACGGCGCACGAAAGGCGAGAAAGCGCAACGCCAGCCTCATCAGTGGTCAGGGACACACGAGCCCCGCGCACGAATCGCGTGCAGTTGCTGGCTGCAAATAGCACAGTACGTACAATGCAGTGAGATATGCAGTGCATTGCAGGACAGTACCTATATATACGTACAAATATACGTCTTCCGGTTGGAGAATCAGGAGAGATGAAAGGGCCAGCGCATCATGTTGCTTGGTTGCCTGCTTGCTCCAGGCGGCTGCGGCTGCCCCTTGCGCAAGGGATTGGCCGCGAACCGTGTGCCCTGGTCTGCGACTCGCCTCGACTTTGACTGCGGCTGCGACTCAGCCTGCGCTGGCGGCATGGGAGCCAACGGGAGCGGCACCACCACCACACCTGCTGCTGTTAGTAGTTATCAAGAGCCGCCGTGGCCGAGGGCGGACGGCCCGTCGTCGTCTTGTCTCGTCCTGTGCCGAGACAGTGCCACGCAGCGGGGACCAAATGAGCGAACGTAGGCGCCTCTGCCGCATTGCACGTATCGAGGAGACACCAAACCAAGCCGCATCCACTTAACCCCCTGTTGATGCCCGATCAGCAGAGTGGCAGGGCGATGCGAGACACGACGCCCGGGGCTGCCCGCGGGCCGGGGGGACTCTCTGGCGAGAGCGTGCGTGCAGGGGCGGGGAGTCAGTCAGCCAGCCAGATGCCAGCCAGCCAGCCCCTCGGAAACTGGTCTCTGCGCTACAAACGGGATGACGGGGTGAAAGGGAGGGGCTGGTTTGTATCAATGCCGCCCCTGGTTGATGGGTGATGGGCTGGATGGGCGAAGGGGGCTGATTGACTCTGGTCACGATGATTGTCTGGTTGGTGCGTGGCGGGGGGGATGGCGGTGAGGCCAGCGGCGGTCTGGCTGGAACTTGACCTTGGCTCATCAGGTTGCCCTGACCGATACAGCAGTAACTTGGAGCAGAGCACCCGGGCCGGCACAAATGTGCCTCGGGAGTCGGGAGGGGCTGGGGGGGAAGCGCTGATTGCCGCCGTGTTGGATGCTGTGTTGGGCACTCCTTGCACAGCAGCAATTACGGTCAAGTGCGAGCACTTTACGGTAGTTTACGGCACACGAGTTATATTGGGAGAGACAGTGATGCGGCGCAGATACTGTACCTAGTCCGACACATACGGACCCGTCTCTCTCTCGAACATGTTCCAGAACGGCGGTGCAGACACACGGGTCGCGGGTGTAAATTACGGGGGGCCCGGCCATGGCCCGGACCATCGGGGCCGCCGAGGCTGGTAGGCTATCGGCGTCCGCTGCGTATTCTGACCGCCGTGCCGCGCGGTAGGTAAGTATCGAACGTACGTCGTACATGCCGCGGGTACGGGCATGCCATCATGCAATGTAATTCAGGGGCCGACGCTCCGTGCCGGGCGGCTGTCGACACGACCGGTGCCAAGGGCGCGGTGGCGTGCTTGCTTGTCGTTTGTCTGTCGATGCGATGGTGGCGCCCGTCAGACACGAGTACCTTTTGCAAGGGCGGCGAGAGACGGAGAGCAGTGCGGGCGGAAAGGCGGGCGAAGACCAGCAGATCAGCAGACCGAGATGCACGGGAACGTTGCCGTCTCAACTCGGTCAGTCTTTTGCTTGGCCGCCGCCGCCGGAGTCTACTCGTATAGTCGCCGCTCCATCGTCGCAACCTTGGCATCTTGGGTTCCTCGCGTCTCACTCCACAGCGCCCTTGGCGCCGCCCGCGCGGCTGCCCGACTCGCTTCAAGGCGTCGCACCGCCGACAGCAGCAGGGCGGGGAGAGTGACATGACGACAGAGGGGGGCGGGCGGTGGTGGCAAAGGCGTATGTATGTATGTACAGTACGTGTGTGGTGGCATGTCATGTTAAAAATGTCAATTCAACTCGAGGGCGCAGCCCGCTCCCTCTGGTCAAACCCAATCTGGGCGGTGACATGCCAGGTTCCCCAGATCCGGCATCCATGCGCAAGAAAAGGTCTCTTCTTTTACAGTACTCTTTGACCGTTGTGAATTTTTCCAATTTTAGCCACCGGCTCGGCCGACGACGGAAGTGTGGATGGGAGGGCGGGCGGATCAACGGACGGGCGGGCGTCGAGGCGGCGGGCGGACGAGGCAGCGAGACAAGGAAGCGACAGAGAGAGAAAGGGAGGCGGTCAACGAACGGGCGTTCCGTCATCGACCCCCCATCATGTGCTCCTCGCTCGGGGCCGGCAGCAGACCACGGCGCCGCGCCGCGTGACTCGCCAGCCCGCCCAACATCCTTGGATATCACTAAACACGTGCTCTGCCTGGCCGCCGCACATGGACAGAGACAGACGAGCGATGCCACTGTAGTATGTCCGGTACGGTACTGCACAGGCCGGCCTTTGTCTGGATGGCACTCTGCTGAGGCTGCGCGTGCATCGGCTGGGTTGCGACACCGTAACAAAGGGCGCATTGATGAAAGCCGGCATTGACACCGTGCCAGGTATCCGATGCGCGATCCGCGCCCGCGTTTGCCTCGTGCGCGGTTCGCCGATGTAACGGGCGAGTCAGTGGATGCCATCCATGGTGGGCAGTATCCGAAGGGGCGACGGCCGACTGGGGCAGGGAGCCTGTCTTTGCGGCGCCTCCAATCGCAATGGCGGCGGGCAACGTAGGTGGGTGACACACACCAGAGAGATGGGCGCTGAGGAGGGTGTTCTGCATCGAATGGAAGGCCTTCCCGCCCGCTTCCACGAGGCTTCCTCGTTAGGCAACCCGGAGCGTGAGGGTGCTGCTGACCTTGGCGTGCGCCGCCGCCCGCCGCGCCGTCCGTCTGGCGCGAGCGACCCAAGGCAGGACCGGCCTTTGTCCGTGTCGGGACGTTTGTTTGAGCAGAACAGCACTCCGTGCGTACTGGAGGTAGGGCCTGCCCGCCGTACCAAGCAAGGCACGAGGCGAGTACTGTACTCGACTCGACTCGCACAAGGCGCAGTTGTCTTGACAATGCTCCGGCTGGATTATCAGGCAGAACCGTGAAAGGGCGCGCTCTCCCAAAGACGGCGGCCGGTCCACTTTGGGCACCGTTCTTGCAACGGCCCAGATGCCCAGCCCAGTCCAGCAAGCCCGGCCCAGTCAGTGGCGGCGGGTGGAATCATCCATGGATGGATCCTTGAGGTGGATGATGCCCTGGGATTTGCGTCCTGTCCCGTCAGGTCGGGTCCTGGCGCAGAGCAGCGCTGCACAGTGATGTGATGCACTGCACGCACAGCACGGGGAGCCCTGTCCGGGGCATCCACGTCGGCTGTAGCACGCCAGGGCAGCCTAGCAAGCCAGCCAGCCAGCCAGCCAGCTGGAGCCCGGGCTGCCCCAAGAGGAGCCACAGCGCCCGTGCCACCCCGCCAGGCTCAACTGAGGCGAGCCCCGTGTCTGCACCTAGCCATGGATCAATCTTATCCCAGGGTCACAGGCGCCAGCCGCAGCGCCCGCCTGCCCCGGCCCCCGCCAAACAGGCCAGGCCTGATGGCCTCCAGCTGCAAGTGCTGGAGGCGAGGTGCCCTGCGCTGCGGTGCCCCCGTCTCGTCCTGAATTCCTTTTTTCCCTCCCACGCCCGGCCCGAGCGCCTCCCTCCCTCCCTTCTGCCA